CTTACCTTCACTCCTGCACTGCTCCACGGAGATGCCAGAAGTAAGGAAAGAGGGGAGTCCTGTGTAAGCTATGCAAGTGAGTTCCAGTTGGAGCTTACACAGGTCTGAAGACTCTCTCCATACCAATTGGCAAGCCCCAGCACTGTGACAAGAGAGCAAATGGAGTAAGTCACATTCTATTTTTTTTATTTTTTAAGTCACATTTTATTTATTTTTTTGCTCTCAGCGGTTAAACAGGAGAGTCTGAAGAAGGCTAGTGTGTGCTGATGGGGTATTAACATAAACCTGCTTCTTTGCCCTGCAAAGTGATTAGTTGGTTTTAAGCAATCCTACAGAAGTTTTAGTGGATCAACAATATTCTGTTTTTAAAATATTTAAATGACATATGTCCAGGGAACAGAGATTTCCTACTTTGTATATGCAGGCTCTTCCATCTGCTTAGCAACGCTGCCCAATGTTGTGCCTAACTATATACCTCTCATACGACTGCAAGCCTTCCGGACAGGACTTGTTGGACTAAAAGCAATAGGCTTTAGATTCCTTGAGAGATCTCAAACTGCAAAACCTATGGCAAATATGGGGTACTTGCCCATTTGAATGTTAATGATGGGTCCTCTCCACTCGCAGTGGGCATGTCTGCATTTCTTACTGAGATGAGAGATTGGGTAGAGTAGTACTGATTGACATTCTGCTGTGATCGTGTCAGGTTTGCACCCTGTGAGAGGTTAAGTTGCACATGCAGAGCAACTTGTTTCAGGGTGCATAGTTGAGACTTGCTAAAAAAAATGCCTCAAGAGAAGGGAGTCTTCTAATTCAGGGTACACCATTACATGGCACTACAATTACAGAATCAGAGATTGGCCTCACAGAAAACAAAAATATAGAAGCAGTCCCCGGGTTACGAACAAGATAGGCACTGTAGGTTTGCTCTTAAGTTGAATTTGTATGCAAGTTGGAACAGGTAAATTTTTTAAGTGTAACTCCAGCCCAAAATGTTTTTTTTTGTTTTGGATAGCATGGGGAAGGGTTAACCGCCTGTAACGTTTGTTTTGCTGTATGTGCCCCTGTTCAGAAGATTTCACCTCCCTTTCTGTCCCTGTGACAATTGGATTTTGAAAATTGGAAGCAATGATTGGTGATAAAGCTTCAGTAGAGACACCTTTTTCCCATGATAACTCTTACAGGAGTGAATTTCCCTTCTTAGGGGTAGATTTCCTCACACTTCCTCTTGTCTCAAGGACAGGAAGTGAGATTAAATCTGCCTAATGAGGATACAGACAGCAGTATAAACCCACAGTGACCCGGAAAAAAAAAAAGAGGTGGGCACCCCTTGTCTGCACATCTAACGAGCCAACTTCCTGTAATGTACATACAGTACTACGAACCAGACCCAAAAAGGTGGGCACTCCTAGTTGGCACGAGCGTGGTACCATTACAGTGAATGAAATGCTGCGCAGTACACTTTGACTGCAGCCTGGGACCCCCCTGCTGTACAGTAATAGCCTCCGTTTGTAAGTAGGGGTCGTATGCAAGTCGGATGTTTGTAACTCGGGGACTGCCTGTAATTATAATTGCTGTGAAAGGAGTTTTTTTTCAGCTGCATAGTCTTTTGAAACATATTGTTGACTCATATGAAAGTATGGCATATTAACAGTTGGTGTATTTATAACTTTTACTGATTTACATTAAATGTGGACATAAAATATACAATACCAATAAAAGTAAAGCGGGAAGCATATGTGCACTGTAGAACAATAAAAGGTATAGTGTTCCAGCAGAAAGTTGTAGGTGGTAACACAGGAGAAAGATTGAGTATAGACTTTGTTTTTTCTTTTTTACGTCTCCTGCCAGGCCCTAGTAGTCTTTTGAGGGTTTCTTTGGAAAAGTATTTTTCTCTGTTTAGCGCAATTCCTCCATTTCTGCTGATGGTCTTCATTAAGGAAGTTCTCTACTTCCCTATAAATGATTCCATTCCCCTCTTTATTCTTTTGATGAGTAAATGATAACGATAAGCCCTATAGAATGCAGCTTTTCATCATTTTTAGTCACTAACTTACACCCAACATTAACTTGTTCTTATCTGCCCTTTTTCCAAGGGTTTAGCAGCAAAATTACCTCACTAATTGTGATTTTATGTTTCATACATCGACGTTTACCTGCTATTGCTGATACATGAGAAATGTAAAGTGTTTTTGAGGAGCGCAGCGTTGACATTAAAGGCTACAGATTAATGGAGAAAATAGGTTTCTTTGTTACATTTTATCTACTTTCAGCTCATTTGCTTAAAGAGCCACTCTCGGTGAAGGTTCTCATTCATCCAGGTCATGGTATATCTGGAAAACATAAGTCAAGGCAACTGGACTTGCTGTATTTTTTTTTCTTCTTCAAGACGTTTCACTTGACATCCAACCAGCTTTCTCAATTCAGAATGACTTGTACAAAAATTATCTGGGACTAAATATGGTGAATGTTGCTCCAATCCACATAATCTGTTAGTCGCAACCAGGTGTTGATGGAATTTGCATAATTGGAGCCAGGAGGTGTTAATAACCTGCCCAGAGAGAGGTGTTCAAACAGCATTGTATGTGGCAGACAATAGCTGTTTCACCCCCCCCCCACACACACACACCTCTATTTAAGCTTGGCTTCTCCATTTTTACATAAAGGGCCTCTTTTGCACCAGTCCTCCTGTCTAGGATATTGATTTCAATGGCGTTATATCCACGTGGCAATCATGGAAAAGGGTGCATGTACCTCTTTTTGCAACATGCACCACACATTTGCCAGGCGTGATTGGGGTGCCATTATAAAATAATGGCACCGCTAGTGTGGTCAGCAGTGGTGTGCGATTACGTGACCAGGCGGCCATCTGCGCGGTCACGGATCGCCTAGTGTGAACCTAACCTAAAATGGGTACAATGGAAGGATGTGGGCAGAATAGCAGAAAGGCTTCACCAGGGACACATTAGCTACCTTGTAAAAGCATTGCTCAGGCAGCAAGCTGCTGGAAACTATACCAAGTTTAAATAAGCGGGGCAGAGAGGGCGCTGCTGTGACTGGATGCGGTGATGACAGGAGGTGGAGGCTATGTCGGAATGCAGCAGTAGTGCTGGATCATGTAAGGTAAATAGCACTGAGCACCCCAATTCCTTTAAAAAAAAAAAATCTGTTGCTAGATTCACCCAGAACGATGAACATTGAACAAATGACCAACCTATTCCCAGCACTTTGACTAATAAACACTCAGAACACTGCCTTTTCAATCAAGGCAACGGATCAACTTTTACAGCATGTTGGTTATGGACACATTTTAACATGGAAAATCCCTTAAATAAGACAGTGCCTATTCATGACTCAGGAGGAACACAAAGAACATTTTATGGTTTATGTCTGAAGGATCAGACTGGCTGCCTGAGAATAATATCACAGTGACAAAACAAGAACAAAATCAGCTTTTTGTAGACAGTAATATGCTTGTGTGACAGTTAGTGACACGGTACAAAATTTACCTTTTTTTTCTGGTGATGTTTAGGGACCTTTTTATTTGTTTTTAACTACTTGTTAACACGTTTTCCTGCAAAGCTAAATTAGATATGTAGCTACATGTGTTGCAATCATGTGTAATAATGACTTCAAAACAAACTATTCCCATTTTACTTATTGTATTTCCACTTTTGCAGTCAAAGTTGACAAAACTCCCACTATATGTTTGTGTTTCTTTTTGACACATATCTAATAAATTTAAAAAAAATCTTACCTTTTAGATTTGTCTGTGTAGCCCTTGCCTCTCAGTTTAACTAACTGCAAACTTTGATATGTCCTATAGAAAAACTGAAGGACAGACTGAGCTTCCTCTCATTAACATACAATGCTTCTAGATCTATAGCCGTTTGTTAGGAAAGACCGCGTTCATATATAGATTACAACTGATAGTGAGCTTATGTTCATGTCCCCACCCCTTGCATTCCAGAGAGATATTCAGTACAGATAACAACTTTTCTTTCAGAATTGAGCATGTTTTGTGCAAGCAACAATTGATTTTTTTTAACTTGTGCTTTGTGAATGAGAAATCTGTAACAAATATAAAGCAGGTGTTATCCCAATTTGGGCGCAAAAGTGCAAATACACTTTAAGCCATTGTTAAGATCAAGAACAAGGTTAAACCGGCACAATGCTAGCTGTCTAATGGAATTCCTCATTTGACATATTAGGCAACTTTTCAGTTGAACTACAAGTTTCAGCATGCTTTATTAGCTCACTCAGTCACTTAATCACACGTTTTAGCCCTTAAAGGAGAGCTATGAGATGAGTGATTTCCACTCACCTCATAGTTCTTGCCGACCAGTGACAATGAGACTGTCACAGGTCGGGAGGTGAGCGAACACATACCGGGTTCGCTCACCTCTCGATCCTGTCACGGCTCTCTGCCGTGACAGGGGGAGGGGCTGGATTCCCCTCTCCCCGCTCCGATCTGCCAGCGCTGACTGGCAGAATGGACGGGGGTGGGGGCGGGTACAGCTGGCTCTGCCTCTAGATAGGCAGAGCCAGCTGTCACTCATGCAGCTGGGCGGATCCCGACGTCCAGGTCGGGATCCGCTGCGGCGTCTCAGTATACCGCGAGCTACAGCTTAGCTAACTGAGCTAACTGAGCTTAGGGTAACGGGAGGACGCTAGTTTGTGTCCTCCCGTTACCCTAAGGAGAACTATGGGGGAAAACACTGACCCCATAGTTCTCCTTTAACATTTTCTTAGTGTTTTCCTTAGCATTTATAGCTGCACTGTAATTATGCCTAGAAACAAGTGCTATGTGTTAGCGGGATTTTGGTTTTAGTCTAGAAGCCCACACGCCATTACACGCTCTGCATCTTCTCTCCAGATCATGTAGTAATAAATGAACTGGAAGATTCAGAGGGTTAACGAAACACTTGGCCTCTTTTCTTCTGCCTCTGCTCAGTGTTTTCCTTTCTCATTATCTCCTCTCCCTCCTTCTCCCCCTCCAGATTATTGCTGCGGATTGTAAGCGGGTCACAGTCCTGAAATATTTCCTGGAAGCACTGTGCGGACAAGAAGAGCCTCTGCTGGCATTCAAGGGTGGAAAGTATGTGTCAGTGGCACCCGTCCCAGACGCCATAGGAAAGGAAACAGGAAGCCCGGAGGGAAACCAACTGGAAGATCAGGTATTGGTTAAAATGTGGGGGAGACTGGGGTTTACCCACTGAGCCAGTGGTAAGAAATACAAGCAACCCAGGAAAGCCAGTCTCTCTGGCTTTTGTTATTTCTTCAAACAATTCGATGTTTAAGTGACTTGCCAAAAATTTCCTCCCGCATTTTGTGTGTGTTCACTACATAGGCAATGTCACCCCCATTTTGTGTGTGTGCATTCTTTATTGTATCCTCCTTATAGCGTAGTTTCCATTGTCCCTGTCTATCTACTACATCCATCATCTGCTGCTATTATTTTCATTTCTATTTTTTTTTTAAATAATAATGTGTTGCAGCCGAGACGGGAGAATGAGGAGAAAGGGAGGGGGTGCAGAGTTCAAATTGGGGATAAAGTTTGTGGGCGTACATCTTGGTGTTGCTCACAGGGTGAACTGAAGTCTATTTGACACGTACAGGAAGAGTTGACAGCACCCATCCCACTACCCCCTCCGCTGAACCCAATCTGTCCCTCACATCCTGATCTGATTAAGGAGTTTGAGGCAAATGCACCACACAACCTCCTAAGTACTTGTTCATTGCTAAAAGTGCTCTGTGTATGCTTCAGGGCTAGCCATATGGAATCGTAACATATCTGGAATCTATTGTACATGCTCCTTTACTGCTGTAAAATATTTTGTTCATAGACTAATTCATGGTTAGTATTTAAAAAAGTGTACACCAATGTGCACAAAGCAGCCATTTTCTGGTACAGAATTTTGTGCAATGAAGAAATCAAACTGCAACCTTATTTAAGTGTTCGAGTATGTTGGAAAACGGATCAATTTGTGTCATTTGTGTCCCTGTTGTGCCCTGGCAAGATTTCCTTTCACTTCCTATCCGAGCGGCCACCTTTCAAAAAATGGTAAATTAAGCAGAAATCTTTAGGGCGTGAACATAGACAACAAAAAACCTTTTTCTGGTTTTACAATTCTAATAGAAACATATTTTAATTCATGTTTGTGTATTGAAGAGCTGTTCCCTGACTTCCTATCCATTGATCAGCTGTGACCAGGACAGGAAGTGAGTAGAAATGTTTGCAACAGAAACGCAAATAGGTTTTGGCAGGAGTTCCACCTTAAAAGGATATAAAAGAAATGCAAAAAAATTTCTGAAGCTCCACACTCATATTGCAGTCACTGTCTGCATGTATGTTTAAGCGTCCATTACCAGTGGCCTTTGAAACAGATTCTCACAACTAAATTAGCAGTATAAAGGTTGTATAAGGCACTAAAGGGTTTCTTTTAATGCACCGCTTTTTTAAATTCCCTGCTCAGGTTTTTGATTAAAAGGTTAAATGGACAAAAATGCATTTTACACCCA